TCTTCTGATTCTATGAGAGTTTGTCTAGGTCAGCAGCAACTTCATCCAAGTCCTATAATTCAAGTGTGTGGTTTCTTCAGCAAGATTACCTCTAAGTTCTGGGAGACAGCCAAGGGCAAAGGCAATAACCTATATTGTTTTGCGGGTCTCATGGACCCCCGTGACCAACCTTGAAGGGAGGTTTCACTTGCTTGGCACTGGGTTTTTGCTTTGTTTGTTTTTAAGACAGGGTCTCACTCTGCAGCCTAGGCTGGCCTGGAACTTGTTCTGTAGAGCAGCATGGTCTGGAACTCACAGAGACCTGTCTGTCTCTGCTTTCCGAGTGCTGGGATTAAAGGTGTGCATCACCACTACCCAGCTAGGCACTGGGGATTTTGTTAGATAGTCCATGCTCCTGTGAAGAACATTATCATCTTGCATGCTCTAATTCGATTCAAAGAACCTATGTATGTCCTCCTCTCCCCTTCTTGAATGTTCCCTTTCTCTCTCTCCCCTATGGTCCCTTTCTACTTCCCTGGCTTCTGTAGTTATTCAAAGATATACTCAGATCTAAAGATTTGGAGCTAAGATGCACAATAAAAGACAACACGCAGTGTTTGTCTGAGCCATCTCACTCACTATAATACTTTCCAGTTAGATCTGTTCAACAGCAAATTTCATGATTTAATTTTTTCCTTATAGCTAAATAGAATTCTAGTCTGAATATGTATATTTTGATTATTTATTAATTAGTCAATGGACATCTAGGCTGTTTCCATTCACAGTTATTGGGAATAAAGTGACAATGACATGGCTAAGCAAGGATCTGTGGAGCAGGACGTCAAGTCCTTTGGGCATATGCCAAGAAGTGGTATATCTGGGTCATACAGATTTATTTTTAGTGTTGTGAGAATTTTCCATATTGATTTTTCAGAGGTATTTGCAATTCCACCAACAGTGAATGAGGGTTCACTCCCCCATATACATTCCTGCATACATTTGTTAGTTGTTTTCTTGATCTTAGCCACTCTGATTAGGGTAAGGTGGAATCTCAATGTCGTTTTAATTTGCATATATTTGATGGTTAAGGATGCTGAATACATTCATAGATAGTTCCCAAACATCTTTATTTCCCCTTTTAAGAACTCTTTGTTTGGTCCCATAGCCTACTTTTTAATTGGGTTGTTTGTTTATTTTGGTGTTTAGTTTAGAGTTTTGGTTTTTCTTTTTAGTTCCACATATATACTAATCCTCTATCAGATGTAGAGCTGGCAAAGATTCTCTCCCATTTTGTGGGCTTCCTCTTCACCTAACTGTTTCCTTAACAGTACAGAAGCTTTGCAGTTTTAGGAGGTCCCATTTATCAACAGTTGGCCTTAGTTCCTGACCAAAGTCATCGCCTATACCTATATTATATAGGGTGCTCCCTATGTTTTCTTCTAGAAATTACAGTCTTTCAGGTTTCACATTGAGGTCTTCGATCTATTTGGAGTTGCTTGTTTTGTTTCTGAGACAGGGTCTCTCTATGCAGTCCTGGAACGCACTACACTATGGAGACTGGGTAGATCTCAAACTCAAGTTCTGCCTGCCTCTGCCTCCCAGATACTGAGATTAAAAGTATATGTCACCACACCTGGTGCTGGAGTTGATTCTTGCACAGAGTGATGGACATGACTTTGCCATACCATTTGTTGAGATAAAGTCTTTCCTTCAGCTTGTATTTTTGGCATATATTGTATTTTGTCAAATATCAATAGCTGTATTTGAGGGATTACCATACCTGCACTCAAGTTCCATTATAGACCTAGCATAATAAAAACATCATCATGCTGGTACAAAGCAGACACAGAAATCAAGGACTAAATTAGTAGATCCAGTCCTATTCTGCATACTCTAGGCTACCTGGCTTCTGAGTTTCCACCTCCCATTTCACTGAAGGAACGCTGTGTTTACAGATGCCTACCACTGCATCCAGCCTTTTATGAGGGCTCCTGTAGTGATAGTTCATTTCTATTTTAATAAATAAGGCTTGCTTGAGGATCAGAAAAGTAAAACAGCCACATTGGCCAGTCTTACAGACCAAGCAGCAATGACACACCCCTTTAATCCCAGTAGCCACAATGATGCATAACTTGAATCCCAGTAGCCACACTAATTTGCCTTAGAAACTAGGTGGTAGTTATGCACTCCATTAATCCCAGAACTAGAGAGGATCATAAAATGGAAGGAGACAGCTCTCAGTCTCAGTCTCATTCTGAGGTTCCTGGAGGCAGGATCCCCATTTCAGACTAAGGTAGAGGTAAGAGCTAGTGGCTAGCTGTTTTGCTTTTCTGACCTTCAGGTTGAACTCCAATTTCTGTATCTGGGTTTCTATTCATTGTGCTTCAGGCTCCAAGAATCAAACTCCAGTCATTAGGATTACACAACTAATGCCTTTGCCCACTAAGCTATCTCCATGGTTTGATAGTAACAGTTTTAAAAATTACTTTAAGATTTATTTTTATTTCATGTGCATGGGTGTTTTGCCTACAAGTATTGTCTGCATATCACATGTGTGCATAATATCTGTGGAGGTCAGAAGAAGGCATTGGTCCCCTGGAACTATAGTTACAGATGGTCTTGAGCTATCATGTGAGTGGTAGGAATTGAATCTGGGTCCTCTAAAAGAGCAACTAGTGCCCTTAACCACTGAACCATCTCTCTAGCCTCCAATATTTTTTATGAGACATGATCTTATAATGTAGCACCATCTATCCTGAAGCTTGATATGTAGACCAGGCTGGCCTTGGACTCAGAGAGATCTTCCGGCTTCTGTTTCACAAGTTCTGGGATTAAAGGCCTGTGCCACTATACTGGGCTATGTCGATTGTTTGCTTTTTTTTTTTTTTTTTTTTTGAGGCTTTTTTTCTAGATAGGGTTTCTCTGTGTAATAGTCCTAGCTGTCCTGGATGTCATTTTGTAGACCAGGCTGACCTCAAACTCACAGAGATCCTGCCTCTGTCTCCTGAGTGCTGGGATTAAAGGTGTGTGCTACCAAGCCTGGTTGATACTTTTATTAGGTATATAAATTACGTATAAAAGTAGGTATCCTTTCTTAGTCTGTCATAAATCACCTTAACTCCAAAACCAAGTTTATATACTCATGAAAAAATGTTTACAGCACTTTAAGTGGGAGTTTTATACTCTGAAATTTCATATATACCTAACCATATATTAAAAGTGAACTCCCAATATTATTACTCTATACCACTTAAAGAACATTAATTGCTAAAAATTGATAAGGAAAGAAGTAAAGATACAAGCAGTCAAGAATAGCATAGAAAAAGTTGCTAAAGAGTGACCTAACTGCCACTATCAAATGGCCTGGGTATCAAATCAGTTTACTGGCTTGCTCTATCAAATCTTACAATATAGATGGAGAATAAGTGTATTATTTAAATTAATTCAGAAATCAAGTTCACAAGAATAAGGAATGATAGTACATTTGAAACAGGATTATAAGGAATCATGAGGATAGCAACTACTTGCTCATATGCACTCCAGAATCTGGGTAGGCATTGCAGCCAATAAAAGAGAAAGATAATAGTGAGCCTGACCCACCACAATGCTCAACAAAGCTCCATGTATCTTTCTCAACTCTGATTTGTCATATACTATTGATACTATCATTAACTGCTACAGCTTTTAAAAAAATACTTGATAATATGTATAAGAATCTTCAAGTTCATATCCAGAGGGACACAAACAAAGCAAAAAGCCATGAATGTGGGAAAGAGATTAGTTGTGAAGCAGGAGTGGACAGGGGAGGGAAGGAGAGAAGAGTACAGGGGCTGAGAGCAGAACAGAATGCATGGCATATATGTATGAAGTTGTTAAAGAACAAATTTAATTTCTAGAGTATCCATATGCTTTAATCAAATAATACCATTCTTAAAAACCAACATTGTGCATTGCAGGTAATGATCGTGCAATTATGTAAATACACAAATAATCATTGACTTGTATATTTAACATGAGTTATGTTTTTTAATTAGCATATTAACTAACTGTTTCCTCGTGGCATTTTCATACATTGTTTTGATTGATTCTCCACTCCTTCTCCCCCATCTCTCTGACCTCCTGTTTCCCCACTGTATTCCTTTACTCCCAGTATCTTACTTCCACTCTATTATCTCATGTGTTCTATTGCCTTCTACAACCCATCTCTTGAAACCTCCCTTTCTCTACCATGAGTTTACTTTATGGTTTATAAACTGCTTCAACAAGCTGCTGGGAAAGTCATACTAAAAATAATCTAAAATGCAGATGATACTATGACAGTCGCTGCCATGCAACTAAGTGCACTATAAATAGTTGAAAGAACCAGCTCACTAAAGTCTCTTCGACTTCACATCACCTGAATAGCTACTTCTTTGTCAGGTTGATCCCAGAAATGCAGAAGTGAATGGCACCATAAATCTAGAGGAATTCTGAGGCAAGTAAGACGTCAACAAAAGCACAGAACAAGTTAATCCAAGTAGAGCCGGAACAGTAGAAAGGAGTTAGGGAAGCGGTCCCTGAGCACCTAGCACATAGAGATCTGGGGCTGGAACATGGTCTGTTCCACACACAGCTTGATCTCTTGGGAAGCGGAGAATCATGTAACCACCAGAGAAGGAGGACAACAAGGAGAAGAGGGGAGTGAGAGAAGGGAAGGGAGGAGAGGGAGAAGCCGCCCATTCTCGAGTACTCATCTGAACCAGGAAGAGGATGAAGGAGGTCTTGAGTTACCATGTGGGTACTGGGAATTTAATCGGGGTCCTCTGTGAGAGTATTAAGTGCTCTTACCCACAGAACCATCTTTCTAGCCCAAGATATCCTTATATGAGACAGGGTTTTACTACGCAGGACTAGATATCCTGAGAGATCTTCCTGCCTCTGTCTCTCGAGTTCTGTGATTACCATACTGGGCTTGTTAAGATATTTCATTAGGTACATAAAGTACTTACAACAGAACACATTCTTAGCCTGCCACAGAATACCTTAGTTTCAACTTAAGCATCCTTCCCAATAGCCGGGGAAGCTCCAGTTTCTCCCATTGGGTCACTTAGCATTCTTCCTCTTCACTACTGGAGCTATGCCAATCTGGGTGGGTTTTATCTTCCCAGTTCTTCCCTGAGCATGGGCAGAATAGGTTGAGAAGATTAGAAAAAGATGCAAATGAATACAACAAACCCCTCTCTGAGACCTTTTTGCTAGTGATTTTGAGCCCTCTCAAGTTGCTTAGCATCTGATTGGGGAAAAAGACATAAAGCAATTCAACTAGGACACGATGTGATAAACTCTAGAAGGGGAGATAGTTCCCAAAACGGGAACTATATCCTGTGTGGGTTAGGGGGGGTTTCTCAAGGGTTATAGTCTGAACTCAGGAGACAATGCAGCAAGAGGTTAGTTAGATAAAGCACTGGAGGTTGGAATTATTATAGTTCTATTTATTACATTGACTAACTGATCGATTTTGTGTGGGGGAAGAGCATGTGTGCCACAGCACATGTGTGGAGGAGAGAGGGTAATTTTCGCAGGAGCTGGTTTGCTCTTTCTACCATACGGTTATCAGGGATAGGACTCAGGTTGTCAGACTTGGTGTCCAGCACCTTTACCCACTGAGCAATCCTACCTGTCTCTGTATCTCTATTTTAAACACCTTCCAGAAGAATTGGAAACCATCTTCAATTGTTAAAAGATGGTTAAATATATCACAGTATACCCACAGTTTCCAATTCTGTGCGGCAGGATTTTCAGCACTTAGCACACCAATACCACAAATGTCACGTTGGTTGGCAATGAATGAACATTTAATGAATTAATGAATGAATCAAGATGGGGCAACAAATAGCATAGAAAAAGTTTTAATCGATGTATTGGCTGGCTTTATGCCAATCTGACATAAGCTAGAGTAATTCTGAAAGAGTGAACCTCAATTGAGAAAATGCTTCTTCCAGACTGGCCTGTGGAAAAGCCTGTGGTACATTTTCTGATTGATGACTGATGGGGGCTGAAGCTCAGGGTGGACAGTGCCACTCCTGAGCTGGTGGTTTTGGTGCCATAAGAAAGCAGGCTGAACAAGCCATAACGTACAAGTCAGTAATCAGCACTCCTTCATGGTCTCTGCGTCAGTTTCTGCCTCGAGTTACTTCCCTAGCTGCACTCAGTGATCGACAGTAAGATGAAATAAATTCTTTCCTTCCTGTAGAGAGCAGCATGGAGCCACATCTGATAATCAGCTCCTAATTATGTCTAAGACCTGACCTATGCCTGATCACGCAATGATCATCAGCTGCCTGCATATGCGTGAACCTATGGGCAGTGCCCACCTGGCAATCAGGGATTGGCAGCCCATGCCTACTTAAGGGCTGGGAGAGGTTTGCCCGGGGAGAGAGGTTTGTAAAGAGATAGATTGCTGTGAATGAAGTCCTGGAATAAACTGCAGTGAGAAGAGCTCCGGTGGTTGCGTCATCCTTGCTGGTCGAGGTGGGACGCGACACCTCCCCAAGTTGCTTCTGCATTTTATCACAATAGAAACCCTAATTAAGACAATATATATACCACTTAAAGAACTGCTATAGCTAACAACCTATAAAAAACTAATAATATGAGTGACATGCCTTTATAACAATCATCGAATATATGTGCTACAGTAGTCCCATTTTACAGAAAAGGAATAAGGAGTTACTGAACCACACTAACATAAAATAATGTGGGTGAGTCTGACTCCAGAACACCTACCTTTATACTGCCAACTCATCCCCAAATGGGCAAAAACCAAATTGAGTGGTTCAGATGAGGTACATCAAGAGATGTGTGAAAAGATGTCCAATCTCATTAGTAATCTAAGAAAAAGAAACAAAAGCAACACAGATTATAGGTACTTTCAGTGCCTATAATTTTAACAGTGATTTATGCATTTGACAATAGAATTGGTGAATTATCCCACACATGTGTGTGTATCCCTCTCCCTCTTCTCTCACCACTTGGTGGAGAAACATACTATATGGATAAGGCAAACTGACAGCATCAAAATTGAAATCTCTTTATGCCTTTATACCAGAAATTAAAGTTTTATTTACTTATTTTATGTCTTGTGGGGTGAGGGGGGCGGGAAACTACAGAACACGTGAAGGTCATAGGAAACTTTGTGGAGTTGGTACTCTCCTTCCAACTGCATATGGCTTCCAGGAATTGAACTCGGGTTCCCAGGCTTGCATAGCAAGCACTTTCACCCTGCTGAGCCGTCTCATAGGCCCAGGAATTTTCTTTTAGTAGGAACAGTTCCATAAATGGTCAAAGTAATTTACTGGAACATTATTCCTAATGTAGAGAGGGAATTCCTAGGACTGTTCTAGATTTCCATTAGTGAGGGAATGTTTTAATGAATTATAATACCTTTGGATTCCTTAATATTGCAGCTCCACTAAAGAGTGGATTCACATGGAAAGACCGCCATTGTTTATCGGCATATGACCATGTGGATAAAGGAAATTGCAATTTGTGGACCATCATCTTATTTATGCAGATATAGTATTAATGATAACAACTTGCCATCGAGATGAAATTACCAGTTATGACTTAGTCCCATTGCTCTAGGCTTCAGAAAGGAATGGAGAATAAGAAATGAGAGAAAAAGAGATAAGGAGGAGGTACTAGAAAACAGAAAACTCCAAAATTTTAACTGTACTTTCTGAGTTTGTAGCTGGGCCACATACTCTCTAGTCGGCTAACTATCAGTAAGTTTTCTTCCCCTCCCAAGCCTTAGTTTCTTTATCTGTAACATAGAGATAACAGTGCCTCTGTCTTAAGGTTCTTATGAGGCTAAGTAATCAATGTAAAGCAATTAACAGCATGAGGTACAAAGAAATGGCAATCAACACTAGCTGTTATTCCTCTGACTAGGCACTGCGCCAAATGTTCACACATTTATTGGAGGGATACATCTTTTGAATTGACACAGCTTCCCATGGAGGCCGACAGCTTAGAACTTTAAGAGCAAGTGTTTTCTAGGTCTGACTTCAGGGCCCTCTGCACGTGTACTAGCCTTTCTGGGCTTTACGGTGGAGGTATTCAGGTTGATTCTGCTGAAGGTGCCCTGGCTCTATATGGATGGTCTGATCTCAAAATCAAATAACTAAATTTGACCACCCCAGAGGGAGAAGAAGAAAACAGAAAGGGAAAAGACAGACAGGGGGAGTATGTAAGTGAAAGGAGGCTACTCTCTTTTTTATCTTTAGCAGAGGCCAAGGAAACCTTAGGGCCAAGGCAGAAGGCGGGGTGGGCGGGGCTGAGCTAGAGACAGGGGTAAATGGTAAACTCTGCCTTCTGGCCCACAGCACTCACCGTCTTTGGTTCGTCCTCAGTGCAGGGCAACAGGTAAGAGCTGCTTGCAGCCCTCTTTCTGGGCTCCCACCCACACCGCTGCATGTTGACTTTGGCTGACTAGACCTGACTTTGGAATTTAACAGAAACTGTCGCTTCTGTTTTGGGCTTTCCTCTCTGCCCTCTCTCTCCTTTATTAGTTTTCAGTATCACTCATCTCACTCACCGAGCATTCATACTCTCTTCTCCCTCAATGTACTTTTGTCTGTACCCCTCCCCTCCCCCTCCCTGTCTCCTTCCTCAACTCTGTAGCTTAGTCTCCTGTTTCTCTTGTCTCTTCTCTGTCTCTCTAGAAGGCATCTTAACATTTCTTCCAAATTTCACTCCCTCCATATTTGACCCTTTTCTGTCCGCTTGGCCTAGAGCAGAGTGCAAGAGCCTTGGCGGGGGNNNNGGGGGGGGGGGGGGGGGGAGGCAGATCTAGGGAAGGAGAACTGGAGGGTTTGGTGGAGGGGGTTAAGAATGGTAAGGCAAGATGGGAGGGATCAAGAGGCTGAATAATTAGCAGAAATAAAGGGAAGAGGGTGGAAAAGGAATGCTGTCATTGTGCAGAAAGGCAAGAGACTTGTGTTGTCTCATCTTAATTCACCCTGAGACCCCAGGCAGGCCATTTATCCTGTGGCAAGAGCACCTGTCCAAAGTTTCCACAAATCTCTTAGTTTTGGCTTGGGCATCTAAATTCTTCTGTTTCTGTTCTCTTCTGATTTCCAGCGGTAGGAAACGGTACTAGGAGAGGAGGTAAGGCCTGATGCTCCCAGCTCTTGGAAGAAGTTAACAGGCTCTCTCTCCTCCAGACTTAAATGATTCTTAAAAGCAGGCCACAAGTAATGGGAGCCAGGGGAAAGAAACTCTGCAAGGGTGGCTTCTGACTTCTCCATGGGGATGGAGTCGTGGCTGGCCTCTCCGGCCTATGGGAATGCAAATGGACGTAAAATTGTAGAATTGTAGAGATGCAGTACAAACCTTTAAGGAATGATGCCACCTGACCTGAAAATTCACCACGATCTCTTTGATTTTGTTTTAGACAATCTCTTCTATGCAGTAGGGTGTGAAAATCATTTAATGGTGGAATTAACAAATGTTCAATAATACCTCAAATCCTACTTTAGAACATTTGAGGAAAGCATTTGCCATAAAAGATAAATGCATAGTAAAGGGGCTTGTATTAGTGTAGCAGAGTGGCTTGGTGTCTACAGTCAAGCCCATCAAGCTCCCAGCTAAGAAAATATGTAATGTTTGGATCATGGATCTACAGTGTCTAAGCTAGGGGTCTCTTGAGCCAGACTGGCTGAGTTGAAACCCTGCTTTTTTTCACTTACCAGGTCTTTGACCTGGGTGAGTCATTCGATCTTGGGGGGCCTCAGGTTCACAACATTGTCCTAAGAAATGAATAAGTCACTATATTTGGAGCATTTACAACAGTAAGAGATCAGTTAATGTTTGAATATCGGAACCAGAAGGGAAATTATGAAATTTCCCATCTAACACAATGTCTGTAGAGAAATGAAGGTTCAGAAGGTATGTGAGGGGTGGGGAAGGCCAGGAGGAACCCAAGTTCACACACAGTAAATTGTAGTAAGAGAAAAAAACCTCATCTCCAGCTTTTCATACTTGGCTTGACATAGGGTGCGACTCCTTGGCTCCAGAGTTTAGGTTTGTTACTGAGAAAAGATCTGCTACTGAGTCTTGACTGACTTGGAAATATACATCTCAGGCTGCCATGGGCTGTCCCAGCTTCCTGTGCGTCAAAATGCCCAGCCAAGAGTCTATGTTCTTAATACCCTCAACTGCTTGAAAGGCTGCCTGCATTGAACTTCAGCCATTCCCTTCTCCCATTAAGTAGTGCTCGGAAGTGGACAAAGAGCCCAAAATAACCACACTACAAAGTTATGGGTCATAATGATTCCCAGGAAGATCAGGAAAGACAAGAGAAGGTGTAACTGAAGCTCAATAGTAACTCAAGAAATCAATCCATGTCAAGAAGTACTCCGTATTTTCCCCAGGACCCTCACTAGAATAGCTCCATAGAGATGAGGAGTATATTTGACCTTTTCAGTTTCTATACATGGGAAACAGGTCTTAATCCCCCATCATTTCAGAGCAGGCCTATATTTTGCCTCTGGTCTCAAGGGCCTTCCTTCTTACTATATACTTCAATATTGTTGCTGTTGTTGTCAGTGTTGATGTCAGAGAAGTTCATAGGAACTTGCAAGGACCTGGGCTATCCATCTTGACTCACTACAGATTGGCAGAGGCAGCCTTGGCCAGATGCTCAGACGTGATTCCAGGAAGGGGTTCTTCTTCTCTCCCACACCCTGGGCTCATCTTAGGGAGTGGTCAGACTCCTGAGGTGATAAACTCTGGGGGCTTTATCTTTGGTCTGCAGGCTCAGCCTTGAGTGCTTTAACCTTCATGGGCAGGGAGTCAGAAGGGAGACTCTCATTTCTAGATATAAGGTAGGCACTGGATCCAACCAATGGACTGATGTAGACATAATTACCTCACATTTGACGACTCATCAAAGCCAAAACCAGAAAGGAGAAGTGCCTTGCCCTAAAACATTGAACAAAAAAGCTAGGAAACCAGAATTTAAATAAGAAAATCAAACTTTTTGTGCTGAAAAAAATCACATGGTTTTTGTTGCTTTTGTTTTTTCATTTAATCCTTCCCATCAGCTGTCTGCTTCTTGCTGTTAGAGGGCCCATATGCCCAGGCCCACAAACTAACTCAGGCTGCTGGGACAGCCTGGGACAGGGAGGGAGGATGTTCTAAGATGGAATAACATGACTGGGTTGCTTTGTAAAGTAAGAGGTGTGTGATTGCTCTGGGACATTAGGGAGATGAAAGAAGTTACCAACAGGACAGGCCCAGGGATTCCTCCTACTCCTCTGTCCCTCCCATAATAAGGCTTTATACACTGAGGGTGCTGGTAGACTGTGCTCAGTAGCTTTCTCGGCAGAGCTGGGGGCTCAGTCGTCCCACTTTCTCTCACATCTCCCCTTTTGTATTATTATTTATCTTGTCCACCCTTTGATTCTGGCTCTACAATTGGCCCATTTCTTCCAATCTGTTTCTCACTCTTGTTCTCTGTCTTTCTTTCTCTCAATCTTACCTCTTTATATGTTTCCTCCTCCCCTATACCCATCTGTTTCCTTTTTAAATACAGATTTACTATTTTAAATTATGTGTATGTGTGTGGTTCTGTGGAGAGGTGTGTATATGTGAGTACCAGGCCTATGGAAGCCAGAGACATCAGATCTCCTGGAGCTGGAGTGACAGGCAACTGTGAGCCATACTACATGAGTACTGGGGATCTAACTTGGAAGAACAGTACTTACTCTGAACCAGTGAGCCATCTCTTCTGCCCCTGTCACTCTCTCTTGATCTTTTGATTTTTTTTAAATCCACTTATCTTTTTCAAACAGTTTCTCTTCCACCACCCTCAGTAGGGTCATGGTCCCCTAAGTCTTTATTGTCTAACCCTCCCCTTTCATCTTGGTGTCTCCCACTCTGTGCTTGATGGATTCTTTGCTGTACTGCTTAATTTTCAGTCTTTATATATTACTCTAGGCTACACAATTTCCCTTATGTATCTCTGTTTGTCCCTACTGGTATATTCCCTGTTTCTCTTGTCTTTTTCTCTCTCCCTATCTTCTGTATTTTTCATTATCCTCTTGCCTTGTCTTTCAGTATCAGTCTTCCTCTCCATGGCTGTTTTATCTCTACCTACCTTGTTCCCTTCTTTCCAGCTTTGAAGTCTTTCTCAGTTTCTGATCTTCCTCCTCCACCATCACACTTTTGTTTTCTTTCTTCTTTTATCTTTCTGAGGTTGTCTTGATTCGTCCGCTTCTTACCTTCTCTCTATATTTAAGATCATAGTTATTAACTTACTCCAAATTTCAGCCAATACTCCCCGACAGTTACATGTCATTTGTTCTGTCTTTTCTATTGATTCCCCCTATCTTTCTCTACCTTGGCCTCTGTCCTCTTTTCTGATCCACACAGATTATGTCTTTCAGCCTTCTTAGGTCTTATTTTCATCGCCTCCTTTATCTATGTCTAACCAAAAGTCAGGAGAAAATTCAAACACATCAAAATATCAACCTGGTGATACACAGCCTATAGGGTGCATGCCTGCCCTTTCCTGTTTTCTGGATCTCCTAAAGTTGACAGCTGGCTTCAATCTCTTTCTCTGTCACTGGTAGAGCATTCTCAAGACAAAGCAGGACACTACCCAGGATCTCTGGTGAATAGTATCTGTTTGCAGTAAAGGCCAAATTTTCATTTGGTGGAGGATAATAGTCTTTGCTTTGCTTTTTGTTTTTGTTTTTGTTTTTAAGATAGGGTTTCTCTGTGTAGCCTTGGTTGTACTAGAACTCACTTTGTAGCAGGCTGGCCTCAATCTCACAGAGATCCACCTGCCTCTGCCTCCCAAGTGCTGGGATTAAAGGTGTGCACCATGCCGCCCTGATGAGGATAATAGCCTTAGAAAGACAGTGACCTCAAGTGTTGATCAAAGGTTGACTGTCAGATGTCATTCACAAAGGCACATTGGTGATCCTCACAATCACTAAGCAGCTGGTGTCAGAGTAAGTCAGAGTCCAGGTTTTCTGATCTCTATTTAGAAATCTCTCCCTTGTCCCTTTATCTACTGGTGTCTCTCATTTCTCCCTCATATTTAACATTACGATTGTTTTCTGAGAAGGATAATAGAGGACCTCTGAGGAAGGCAACAAACTTTGAATGGGAAACTAAAGGCAAAGAATTAAACACAGGCACGACTTATCTGGTTTTTGGCCTCATGATGAAAATCTCCTCTCTTCCACAATTTCTACAGGACTCTGGGCTCAAGATGGTGGCAGCAGCTGTGTTGCTACAGTCCTGTCCAGTGCTCTCTCAGGGCCCCCGAGGCCTCCTAGGTAAAGTGGCTAAGACTTACCAGTTCCTATTTGGTACTGGACGCTGCCCCATCCTGGCCACCCATGGACCAACTTGTTCTCAGATCCACCGTAAGGCAACCAAAGCTGGAGAAGGTAAGAAGAAGTTATTGGCAGAAGGGAATGTCTGGGTCATAAAGACAAGGTTCTAGGTCTGATTATCATGACTTAATAGCTTAGAGAGTTCAAGACAGAATGAATTGACCCAAAACAATAGACTCTGGCTGTGTCTTCTGCCAGTGTCTTTCTAGAGCAGGGGTTCTCAAATTTCCTCATGCTGTGACCCTTTTTTATAGTTCCTCATGCTGTGGTAACCACCACCCCCAATTATAAAATTATTTTTATTGCTACTTTGTAACTATAATTTTGTTGCTGTTATAAATTGTTTTTATTAATAAATTTATTTGTTATTTATTTTACATCCGGGCCATGGGTTCCCATCCTTCCTCTCCTCCCAGTCACTCCCACCACACAACTCTCTGTCCTCATGCCCCAAGCCACTCTTCCTCTGTTTCTGTTTAGGAAAGGGCAGGCCTTCCATGGCTATCAACAAAAACATGGCATATCACGTTGCAGTAAGACTAAGAACCTCCCTATGTATTAAGGCTGGGCAAGGCGGCCCAGTATGGGGAGAAGTGTCCCCCAAACCAGTAAAAGAGTCAGAGACAGATCCTGCTCCCACTGTTAGCAGAGTTCCACAAGAGGACCAATGAATTGTAATATAAATATCCAATATGCAGGATACCTGCTATGCCATTCCTGTAAAAAGATTGTTCATTACCCAAAGGGGTTCTGATCTACAGGCTGAGAACCTCTGCTATTGAGTCTTATTTTCATGTTCTTTGCACACAAACTATACTTCACCCATGCTAAAAGGTTAAAATTGCTCAAATTGATTTTCTTGTCCTATGATTCCTTGCCTTTGCTTGTGACATATGACCTTCCCCTATACTATTATCTCCTCTCCTCCTTCTCATTCAACACTGAATTTGGGCATTATTGCTCCTGCAAAGCCTGCCTAGACCCCTAGCCTAGCCAATACCAACTCTTAGTCCCATCCCTTAGATCTTCTAGATTTCATTTGTCCTGTCCTTTCTCCCATCCCACTGTTTCCAAAGTATTGTCAGAGTATGCTACTTCTCCCAGCTTAGAAACTCTGCCAGCAATAAGACCAGATTCATTTAACTTCTCATCTGTATCATAGCCTTAGCTAGAGCTCTGGAATACAGCAAGTCTCAGTAATCATTGCTGAGTAGAATATATGGCTAAGGAATGAACCTCCAATTGCTCTCTTACCTTTGTGTAGACTCTCCGTCTTGGGCCAAGAGCCATTGTCCTTTCATGATGTCAGAACTCCAAGATGGGAAGAGCAAGATTGTGCAGAAGGCAGCCCCAGAAGTCCAAGAGGATGTCAAGACTTTCAAGACAGGTTGGAGTCGACCTCCACCCTATCCAACCTCTATTCCTAATGACTGATCCCACTTTATCATACTCTGGGCTAAGCAAATCCAAGGAAAGACTGTATACATTCCATGATGGACAGTCTGAGTCTTTTGCAGGGAGTCATATGAGGCAGTTGATTAGGCCATGCCTGAAGTGCATTTCCTCAACACATGCACAGGTACAAACTCCCGTAACTTTTAGCTGTCAATCTAAAATGGGCCCTCCTCTCTCCCAGGCAGCTAAGTGGATTTCGAAGAACTGGGATCCCAAGTTTAGCAAGATCATATTATGAGAGTCTGGGTTTGTATGAAGGAAAAGGGGTAGAGAATAGATACACCCTTTAGTTTTCACACGACATAGTGTAAATTAATTAGCCTTTATTCCCTGAAAAGTATTCCGAATTATCAATTTTATTAAAACGAACTCAAATAAAGTTTTGTTTTCAACAAATTATTCTTTATAAGGATAGAGTTCAAGGACAACCCTGACAGAGCACTCAAGACAATTCACACCTGGCCATCCTATTGGCATCTTTCACAGGTCACTTTGAGTTATCACTAAGAACAAAAGAGTTAGAGACTCAAATTTAATAATGTTCAAAAATGAAGACTAAAACACACCCATCTCTCAAGTGCAGGGCCTAGGGTGCATTTCCTGGTTACCTGACACAGGGCAACTCTCAGTGGGAAGTGAATCCCCTTAAGGAAGGCTTCCAGACATTCTAGGAGATGAGCTGAAGCTTACTTTGCAGGAGCATTCCCGGGGAGGCGTCTCTACTTTCTAAACTTGAATTGCTATGCATTACACTGAACCTAAAGAGGACAACAGATACTATCTCTTTTCCTCTCTTCATGCCAATGAATTCCCTATTCCCTCATAGACCTGCTGAGCTCCTTGGATTCAAGCATCCCAAGCCAACCATTCCCTAGTTTCCAGGACCCAGAGCAGATTGAAGGGGCAATTACACACCTGATTCACAACAATATGACTGGTGAGTTTGTCAAGATGGAAAGAACAGGCATGGGAAGAGCGAAGTAGCTACTGAAAGGGTGCATGACACAGGATAAAAAAGAAAATGGGAATGTTTTCTTAAACCAAAAAGATTTTGAAATTATGCATTAGTGCTGGTCTTGCTGGATCTGTGGATTTTGTAACTAAGTCACGTCATTTAAACACTTACCTCAATAGTTTATAAGGAAAAATAAATTACACTTATAGCAATGTAGTATTCCTAGCTTGTTATGAGGTCTCATTAAAAACTAAGCTTACCTCCATTATTTTTCCATATTTCCCTCAAAGTTTCTCACCCTTTCTGCCTCTTATATCCATTTTTCATAGTGGGATTGATTCATTTTTCTAGTATATGAATAAGGAATGATTTTTAAGAGATACAGAGAAATAAAGAGTAAATTATCATCTACCATTAACTTTTTGTTGTGTTTTCTCCCAGACACACCTTCCTATGGCTACACATACACAAGATAGAGAGACAGAGACAGAGAGAATTTCCCATCCAGTGTCTTAATCATACTCATGGTTTTTCAGAACTATGACCCTATGACCTCCAGAGTTTACTGTGCTGCTTTGTTCACTTAAGAATACGATCTCATATCAATTATTACTTACTTCCTGGCCATCAACACAGAGCTGCATAAGGATCATTAATGGCTGAATTGTGTTCCATAGTGTAGACACAACATTATTCATTTAAACAAGAACCTGTAATTAAGGTTGTTGCTAATGCTTTTGTATTCCTCCACTTAAGGCTGCATGCTAGTTTTAGAGCCATATGAATATACCCAAAGAAAATTCATGGTTTTAACTTTTTCATTACTTGAACCAATGTGTCACTTACTTGATGGGCATTTAATTGCTATATGACCTTGGTCAAATTAGCTGATCTTTTTATGCCTTAGTTCCTTCAAACAAAAATACAGATACTAATAGAACTTTCCATATAGTGTTGATGTGAGAAATCAATGAGTTAGCATCTTTACGGTTCCTGGAAGTAGGTTCTACATGTATTAGGCATCCATTAATGCTGGCTATGATAATATAATAAAACAATAGCTATTTTTAATTACAACCACTATTATTAGTAGACCTCTGAGGACAGTAATATTACCACATACCAAATATTAGTGTTGTCATTGGATTCTCACAACTAAGCAAGGAAAGAATTCTAAGCTCCATTCTACATATGAGGACATTAAAACAAAAAAAGATGATTTTTTAAAAAGATTTTTTAAAATTGAGTTGTTTTGGCTGGCATACCAAGTAATGAGTTTCACGTGGCATTATCATACACGTTATTATATTTTATTCTCATGTGTTCCTCCCTCACCTGATTCCCCTTCTTTACCAGTCAGTCCTTTCTTTTTGCTTTCCTGTTACATGTACTCTATTGCCTTCTCTACTACCCACTTCCCTTAAGATCTCTTCCACCACCTATGGTTCCCTTTCTAATTTTTGACCTAAAAATACACATGTACAAACGTATACACCATATACACAATTTTAAATTCAGGTCCCACATATATATGAAAGCACATATGGAGCATTTGTCATTCTGTCTGGCTTTTATTAACATAATGATTTTCAGCTATATCCATTTTTCAACATGACTTCATTTTTTACAGCTGCACAAAATTACATTGTTTCATATGTATCACATCTTCATTATCCAGTCATTTGTTGATGGCTGGCTCTGTTTGCTAGCAACTGTGCATAGTGTAGTTAGAAACATGGGTGTACAAGTATCTTTGTAGTATGCCGACTTAAAAGTCATTTGGGTATATGCTTAGAAGTGATATGTCATACAGTAGTCCTATTTTTAATTGATTCTTTTGAAGTATTATTTTTATCGTTTTAAAATCATGCATGCATGCATTTGCTTCTGCATGCACATGTGTGATAATGCCCTTGGAAGCCAGATATGCCGGATCCCCTGGAGCTGAAGTTAAAGGAAGTTGTGAGCCACTTGATGTGGTTGCTGAACACTTGACGCAGCATGAGCTGCAGAGTCATCACTCTAATCCCTGTTATTTTTTCGAGGAACTTCAATACTGATTTCCATAGTTGCTGAACCAGCTAAGGTTCCGACCCTTGGTGTATAAGAACTCCTCTTTGCTCGCCTACTTGCCAAAATTTGTTATCATTTGTTTTCCTGACAATAGCCATTATGACTGAAGTGAGATGGAATTGAAACTCAGCTTAAATCTGCATTTCCCTGGTGGCTAAGGATGTGAAGTATTTAGTGTCCATTTGAATTATTTATCCAGTTCACTTTTCATTCAGTTCAGCAGCCCATTTACCAATTGGAAGATTCGTGGGAGTTTTCTGATGTTTAATTTTTGCAGTAAAGAGGATTCTTTGCTGGTTCAGAGTCACATAGCTATCAGGTGAGAAGAGACATGAGTAGAAACCGGACCTAGCAATATTCCTTTCTCTGAGACTGAAGCAGTAACTCCTGTAAGGCATCTTCCACACTAACTCTGGAAAGAAAGGTGAGGTCATGCTGAGTGGAAAGCCTGACTAAATCTGTGAGTTAGCAAAGGGATGGCTGAGTGAAATAGAGTTAGTGTGAGTCAGGGCTGGGGAGGTAGCTCTGTGGGTAAAATGCTTGCTGTGCAAGCACAACAACAACCTGAGTTTGAGCACCCAGAGCCCACAGGCAAGCAAATGCAGATAATCTC